AAAAAAAAAAAAAAAATACAGCCCTGTCACACAACTTTCCTGATTTTAACCCATTCAAAAGTCCCTTGTTCTCTTCCAACGACTACCTCTTGATCTATATAAAGGTTCCTCATGAACACAATTAAGTATTCTAGAATACCTATTCTTTAAAACGTGATCAATGATTTTTCATGATGCACATAGTCAAATGCCTTTGCATAGTCAATAAAGCAAAAGTAAATATTTTTCTGGTGTTCTTTGTTTTCAGCCTAGATCCATCTGACATCAGCAATGATATCCCCAGTTCCACATCTTCATTTAAATCCAGTTTGAATATCAGGCACAATTGTACTATTGTTGCATTTAAAAACTATATTCAGGAAAATTTTACTTGTATGTGATATTAATGATATTTTTTAATGATTTCCACATTTCATTGGGCCATATCACTTTGGAATGGGCACAAATTGGGAATTCTTCCAATCAGTTGGCCAGGTGCTGCCTTCCACATTTCTTAACATAGATGAGTGCCTCCATTGCATCAGTTTGTTGAAAGATCTCAATTTGTATTCTGGAGCCTTATCTTTTACCAATGTGTTTAGTGTACCTTGGACTTCTTCCTTCCATACCATTGACTCTTGATAATATATTAACTCTTGAAGTGGTTGAACATAGATCATTTATTTTTGGTACAGTGACTCGGGGTATTCCTTTCATCTTCTTTTGATGCTTTCTGAATTATTCAGTACTGTGCCCATAAAAACCTTCAATATTGCAAATTGAGGTTTGAATTTTTTCTTCAGTTCTTTCAACTTAAATGCTGAGCATGTTCTTCACTTTTGGTGTTCTAACTCCAGGTCTTTGCCCATTTCATTATAATACGTGATTTTGTCTTGTACCTCTTCACTTCTTCCATTTACTTTCACATCTCTTTGCTTGAGAGCAAGTTTCAGAGTCATTTCTGACAACCAATATGGTCTTTTCTTTCACTCCTGTCTTTTTAATGACCTTTACTTTTTTCTAGTGCAATGTTCTTGTTGTCATCCCACAGCTCTTCTAGTCTTCAGCCTTTAGTGTCTAATGCATCAAATCTGCTCTTGAGATGATCTCTAAATTCAGGTGGGATATGTTCAAGGTCATATTATAGCTCTGTGGACTTATTTTAATTTTCTTCAGTTTCATCCTGAACTTGAATATGAGCAAATTGATAGTCTGTTCCACAGTTGGCCCCTGGCCTTGTTTTGGGTGATGATAATGAACAACTTCCCATAGATATAGTCAATTTGATTCCTGTGTACTCCATCTGGTGAGGTCCATGTGTATAATTATCTTTTATGTTGTTTAAAAAAGGTATTGGCAGTGAATAAGTCACTGGTCTTGCAAAATTGTATTATGCAACCCCAGGTATTATGTCTGTCACCAAGGCATATTCCAACCACTGACATTTCGTCTTTGTTTTCAATCTTTGTACTCCAATCTTCAGTAATTATCAATGCATATTGATGACATGTTCGATCAATTTCAGACTGAATAAGTTGATAGAATTTTTCAATTTCATCATTAGTGACTTTAGTGGTTGGTGCATAAATTTGAATAATAGTGGCATGAACTGGTTTTCCTTGTTTTGTTGTTGCTAAGTGTTGATTTCAGTTCATAGCATATGGATATTTTCCTATCACAGATGGCATTGTACTTCAAGATAGATCTTGAAATGTTCTTTTTGATGATGAAAGCTACACCATTCCTCTACAATTTGACATTCCTGGTATAGTAAACAATATGACTGTCAAATTCAAAAAATTGTCAGTACTGGTCCATTTCAGCTCACTAATGCCTATGACATCGATGTTTATACATTTTGTTTTGACAATATCCAATTTTCCTAGATTCATACTTCATACATTGCATATTCCAACTAGTTATGGATGTGTGCAACTCTTTCTTCCATCATCATGGTCAACTCTACTTTGAGAAGTCAGCTTTTCCTCAGTCTTATTTTTCATGTCTTCTAACCTGAGAGGCTCATTTTCTGGCCCTATATCTGACAATATTTTGGTGCTATTCATAATGTTTTCATCTTCCAGCTCTATATCTGTCAAGGTTTGAAGTAGCTGAACACTCAGAAGTAGTCCACTTCTCCTTCTTCCTAGTCTGCATTTGTCTGGATGCTCTGCTTTAACCTGTCAACCACAGGTGATCCTGCTGATATTTAAAATACCTGTGGCATAGCTTCCAGCATCACAACAACATTCATGTTACTGTAATAGGACAAACTGACAGATGAGTGGTTGACACTTATATATAACATTGTGGAATGGTAATTAAGAATGCATAAATCATAAATATCAAACACTGTGCTCAAACTATACATCCACAAACTGCAACCCCAACCCAAACCCACTGACTTGAGTCTGTTCTAACTCCTAGTGATCCTATAGGTCAGAGTAGAACTGCCCCATAGAGCTTCCAAGCTTCCAAGGTAAAATGTTGCCAAAAAAATTTTATGGAAGTAGACTGCCACACATTTTATCCCCCTGGAGTGACTGATTGGTTTGAACTGCTGATCTTTTGGTGAACAGTTGAGTGCTTAAATCACTGTGCCATCAGTGTTCACCTCCAAGATCAGAGGAGGTAGAGAAAAATACCAGACTAATCCTAAATAATCAGTTTTTCTGGAAAACAGTAACACTTAAGAATTTGTTAGATTTTGAATTTAAAGACCACATTAGTCCATCATCCTATTCTCCATTCAATTTCTTCTCTCTGGCTTCTTAGGAACTTGTACTAGATTTCCTCGTTGGTGTCTTATTGCTGTGACCTTAGGAATTTTATGCTTGATTATGCTGGTGATAACTGTGGTTCTGGGAACCGTGGGTGAGTATTAGTAGAGGTAATTAACAACAGCTATTTTTCATGAACATTTATTATGGGCCAAGCACTTTCTTAAGGGCTTGGCATGCATGATTTAATTTAACATTTATATTAATCCTATCAAGATGCATCTATTAGTTCCCATTTTACTACCAAGGGAATTGAGAGACAGGAAGGTTATTTTACTTTTCCAGGGTCATAAACTGTTAGTGGTGAGACCAAGTTAGAAATTTAGACAAGTGATCTAAAAAACTCATAATCTAAACCACAATACTCACTTAAATAGCTTGTTTCAGGGGACTGAAGAGTGAGCACAATATAATGCTATCTTAATAATGAAGTAAATTCACTAAAGGGATTATAAACTTTATTATAAATCTCATAATTTAAGGATATTGTTTTATACCTTGTATTTAGTCTAAACTCTGGATGTATCACAAATTATCTGAGGCACTAACTAAGTGGTGTTTTTTGTTGTTAATTGCCATGAAATCAGTTTTGATGCAAAGCAACCATATTTAGGGTTTCTGTGAAGCAGCTGATGGATTTGAACTGCAGACCTTATGGTTCACAGTCCAGTGCTGATCCTACAGTGCCACATCAGGAGTCCAAGATTCCTTAATCGGTCAAATGTTTATTGAATCTATTCTGTTATAGACGCTCAAGGAGCTCACACGTCTAAATAACAGAAGGCAGTTGTTCTGTGATCCCTATCAACTTTCTTCCATTTGACTTCATCATTTCCTTTCTTTTTTACCTGCTTAACTTTTATCCCTTATGAAATTTATTTAACCTTTCTATTTATTATACTGGTGTGGCACTATAGAGTAAGCATTGGAGTGCTAAACTCAAGAATAGCAATTCAAACTCACCAGCAACTCCTATATAGAGTTGCTAGGGGTTGGAGCTGACTCCATGGCACTTAACAATAACAGTATCTGTTCGATCACGCATTTATGTTTCACTCATTCATTTCACCTTCCCACCAGCAATTTGTCATCTACTTATCATTAATCAATAATATATCCTTTATATCCCTACCTCTGGTGTGGTGTTGTATGATCAGTACTAGACTTTGAACCACAAGGCTGGAAGTTCAAATTCACCAGCTGGTCTTTGTAAACCCTATACAGGGTCACTATGAGTCCGAACTGATTTGACAGCAGTTAACAATAACAACAACATCCCCAGAAAACAAAAATGTGGGTTTGGGGATTTTATTTTTCAAATATAGTGAAATGATCTCCCCCTCCCCCTTTTTTTTCTTTCACCATTATTGTTGTTGGTTTATGTAGCTCTTTGGAGATCTAATTCAGGGAGCAACCCATTGGAGAACATCAACTTTCCATCAAGAAGTAAACAGAACCACAGCCAACCTACAAAACCATCTTTAGAAGAGAAGGTGGATCCTACCATGGCTCTCGGGACCAGAGACAATGACAGAGTTAAGAATCATGTAATCCTTGATTCTAGAGGGTTCACTTTTGGTGATAAAGCCTGGGACAGAGGAGTGAGGAAATTGCACTTACATGCAATGATTGTGCACTCAAGGAAGTCACATTTACCAGTATTATCACAGTGCTCTGTCATATAGACAGTAAAGTCATGTCAGAAATACCCCATGCACTTGGCTGAACACCTCTGACTAAGTTGTATTTATTTTCTAAACCAATAACTGATTTATCACGATCTGGGTAAGCGTGTAGTAAGTTTCAGAACTCCATGCAAATGAACAAAATATGTTCTTTCCCCTTAAGGAATTGACAGCTTAAAGTGGTACAGTTGGAATAGAAATAGAACATTATAAATTTTTTTTTTAATTAAAGGAAATCAGGGAAAGAAGAACTGAGGTAAAATGTTGCCAAAAAAATTAGATTTAACTTAGAAATATACAAAGCAGATGAAACAAATATTTATGCTCCTAGAAATTTTAGTTTGTCTTCATAATTGATCAAACAATTTCATTGATTTGCCTGACAATTTTATATACATGTGACTTTTATTTCTAGCTGTTTCATAATTGATTGTGACTTACTATTTTAACTTCAATTTTATATCCTTAAACCCACATTTCTTCATTACTTTTATCAAGTAGTCAATCAAACATAAACAAGCCTTGGTAGTGTAGTGGATCAGGAGCTGGGCTGGTAACCACAAGGTCAAAGTTTCAATCTACCAGCTGTTCCATGGGAGAAAGAGGCTTTCTGCACCCATAAAGATTTATAGCCTCAGAAAGCCTATACAGAATTACTATGAGTTTGAAACAACTCACTGGCACACAGCAAAACCATGAATCAGACATAACAAGGTCACATAGGTGAATAATTACCCTTATACTTTTCTCATTAAAAAAGTTGTGTTCTTATATGGATTTCACAACCATAAAATAATTTAGCAAACTGAAATTACTTTGTGTACTTTAATAATTGATTTTGAGTGGATTTATGTTAGGGAGATCTAGAAGAAGGAAATTCTGGACTGAATTTGAGGGAGAAGACAAGATAAGGAGAGGAGGATTAGCTGTCTAGAACACTATTTACAGTTACTCAACTCATAAGTACTTTCTTGTTTTAAGTGATTAGGGATCTTTGAATGTGGTCTCTTCTGTCAAATCATATCCCTGTCATTTTAAGTAAAAATGAAACATATAACTGCAATTCAGTGATTATATATTAAGTGTTCACATGAAATACACAAATGATACTGTCACTGAAAGAGTTCATTTGTATGAATAAACCTCATGGTGCTTATATTTTATTTACAGGAGTTTCTCCCTACAGCCCTTGTCTCCCTAACTGGATTTTATATGAGAAGAACTGTTATTTATTAAGAGCATCACTGGATTCCTGGGATAGTAGTAGAGAACAATGCTCTCAACTGGACTCTAGTCTTCTGAAGATAGACAACTCAAAAGAACTGGTAAGTATGTATTCCAGTTATATTTATACATAGTTTACATTGAGCAGAAAAATAGAGTGTTTACAGAGAGATTGTAATCCTTTTTATCATCTCTGCAATTAACATCAAATCATAATATGAAGGTAAGTAGAAAGTATTGCTGCTCAGGTTACAATTCATACAAGCATGAATATTTTTCAAACAAAATCTGTTTAAACATGTGTCTGTGATCAGTAAACGGCTACAGATAAGCTCTCTCAGTAATAATCTTGTCTTAGTTTTATTAAGTTGCCTTCAAAAACAAGCATACTTTTTATATTATGGGGGGAAATGATTTGGGGTAAGGCTAATATCAAATTTTTTTTTATCAAAATTCAAGTGAACATCTTTCCAGAGTACTGAAACTGTGTAAAAAGTTTATAGGAATACTGCCCAACATGAAACAACAGTTTCTATATAGATCAAATATTTTAAACAAAGTCAAGGAAAATTAAAGATAAGCCAAGAGAAGGTAAACTATCAACTCAAAGAATGAAGATACTATGGCTGATGTCCAGAAACAAGTGTCAGAAGAAAGAATAGCTTCTGAAGCAGGGATCTTGCATTTTCAATTGTAAGTTTTCAATTTTAAGATCTTGGCATCAGCAAGCTTTTAACTCGATGGATGCCAAGAGTGTTGTACAAAGAAAAGCTAGCTTAAAGAGCTAATCTTTCCACCAGATGTTTAAGCATGATTGAGGTTCATAAGGTAATTTTATTAAATGAATCGTAATTGGGAACAAGTTTTGGATTTACCAATATGGCCTAGAGAGCATGGTCCAATCAAAATAATGACTTCTGAGGTGGTCTGCATGGCCAATTAAATTCAAGATTGAAACGTCAATATCCAAAGGCATGATCTTGATAGATTTTCTTGAAAAACACAGGACAATCATGGAGGCTTAATAGGATGAAGTTGAAAGAAAATGGCACTAGAGAAAAAGACCAGGAATGTTGTGTCAAAGATTTTTTCCCCATCACAACATTGCACTTGCTTATTCTTTAACTGTATCAAAGACTGTATCGCATCCACCCTATAGCTCTTTCAGAGTTCTTTTTGTTCCCCAAAGTTAAAGAACATTTAAAAAGAACACAATTGGAGTCCCTCTAAGATGCCAAAAATTGCTATTTTAATGAGGTATAAATCAAAGATCACAGAATTCTTTGCAGGAAGGTATAGAGAGATGGAAACCCTGTTTTTAGAAGTATACAGACCCAGAAATAATGTGTTGAGAAACAATAGGTTCACATTTTGTTATTTTTGTTTAATAAACCTTTCTATGATCTTGTAGCCATACTTTTTGCTTACCCTCCTACATGTTTTTCTTTTTTAATGATTTAAATATTAAAGCATTCGTTTGAAAAATATGTTTAAACACATTCTACAGTTCTATGACTATAATAACCAAGCCTCAACTTGCAATGTTAAAGGATTCTGTGGGGAAAGGATGGTGCAGGAAGCATCGAAAGAAGATAAAAAGAAATACAGAGTCAGTGTACCAAAAAGAATTGATCGATGCTCAGCCATTTCAAGAGGAAGCATATGATCAAGAACCAATGGTACTAAAGGAAGATGTCCAAGCTGCACTGAAGGCATTGGCAAAAACCAAGCTTCCAGGAATTGACAAAATGTAAATTGAAATCTTTCAACAAATTGATGCAGCACTGGAGCCACTCATTCATCTGTGACCTGGATTTAGAAGATTAACTGACTGACCAATTGGAAGAGCTCTGTATCTGTGCCCATTCCAAAGAAAGGTGAATCAATGGAACGTGGAAATAATTAAACAATAACATTAATATCACATGCAAGTAAAATTTTGTTGAAGATAATTCAAAAATAGTTACAGCAGTGCATTGACAGCTGCCAGAAATTCAAACTGGATTAAAAAGAGGATATGGAACTAGGGTTCTCGTTGCTGACATTAGATTGATCTTGGCTAAAAGCAACATATACCAGAAATATGTTTACTTGTGCTTTATTGACTATGCAAAAGCATTTGACTGTGGAGCTCATAACAAACTATGGATAATATTGTGAAGAGTGGGCATATGTAATTATGCTCATGAAGAACCTCTACATAGATCAAGAGGGAGTCATTCGAAGGGAACGCCAAGGGGATACTGAACAATATCATCTCTCATTCTTTGGACATGTTGTCAGAAGGTACTAGTCCTTAGAGAAGCATATTGTACTTGGTATAGTGGAGGGTTAGCAAAAAAGAAGAAGCCTGCGTGTAAAATGGATTAACATAGTGACAGCAACAATGGACTCAAATGAAACAAAATTGTGAGGATAGCGCAGGACCAGGTTGTTTCATTATTTTCTTTTCTTTTTGCATAAGGTCACTATGAGTCGGAACTGACTTGATGTCACCTAACAACAACAATAATCAGGTCTCTACTCATTTTGTGAGTTTAGATTTCAGTTCAAAAATTTGGTGGAGTAAAACAAAATTCTTCTCCTGGTCATCATAACTATTGAAAAAATGACAGCTGTAATAAGATACAGTTATAAATAAATTCATCTTTACAAGGTACTGAGCAAAGCAAAGACATTTGAAACACAATCTTCCTATATATTAAAGTTCAGACAATTTGTAAGAATAAATAAATAGCTCAACAAATCTCAAACTTTGATTGTGGTATTGACAACAGAAGCTATAGGAGTTCAGAGAGATAGCTCTGTGAGTATAATAAGATTTACATTAAAAAAATTGAACTTTACATTGAATCATCATGAGTCATGAGTGAAAGATAGAACTGGATAAGCCATTTGAAGAGGCTAATATAAAACATTCTATACTATAATTCTGAACCGACTCGATGGCACTTAACAACAACAACAACATACTATAATTCTAAGTTGTTCTATAGCTTATACATCTGTTATGACTACCCTCAACTTTTTATTCTGGCTTATTTTACCCAAGAATTGTAGTCCACATTAAACTAGATGAAAGTAAGATATATGACAAAAAAAGTACATTGGACCAGAAGTCTGTCTAGCTTTTAGGCCAGTCTGTAATTGCCACTCAATTTTCCTATATTTGTCAACAATTCAGAGGGTATCATTGAACCCCATATTACACAGTCCTACAGACTGGGACCAAATTATTTTAAGTTGTCATCTAACTCTGAGAAGTGTTTCTTGATGGACAGTGAGAATTTATATGTTCAATGTTAAGGGGAGATAATACCTCTCATCCATGGAAATTGATTAGGGGGCCTGTCATCCTTGAGTTTTGGCAGGCAGGTAACTGGAAGCAATGCAATCTTGAGTTCCTGAATTTATTCTATCTTAGAAAATTTAATAATAATGGCTAAAGCAATGCAATATGCCTTTCAGATACTCAGTGACATCCAAGAATGACATTTCTCTCTAGGCAGTTTCTGTAAGCATTCTTCTACCAAAAAGGTTCAATCCGTGTCTCTTTCTTAATGTCTAGAACAAATATCTGTCTTTCATTATTTTCTGTCTTTCTTTTTGATGTATGCCTCTGTGTTTTTATCTGTTTTTCCCTATAGGAATTCATAAAGAGACAAGTGGCTTCCCAACCTAATAATTCATTCTGGATAGGGCTTTCTTACTATCAGACGAAGAGGCAGTGGTTCTGGGAAGATGGCTCAACAGTCTCTCCAAACTTGTAAGTTTCTAAAGAGACAACATTTCATCCATTTTCACAGAGGGGTAAAAGTGTTTTCTAACAGTTATGAATTTAATTTGTTGGTCATATATGAGAAAGAGATAAGTACTAAGACAGAGGTGAGGGAGAGAAACAAACAAAAAAGCTAGGGGCAAAAAAGGAAGAAAGGGGTTGGAAACAAAAGGTGTTAAGAAGTTATTTAGTATTATCAAGTTTTTAACAGCAGTCACTAGATATGTATTTCAAGTTGTCCAGAGTTCTGGTGTGGTATTGTGGGTTAATGTGCTGGATTGCAAAGTTGGTTTGAATTGCAAGGTCTGGGGTTCAAACTCATCAGCTCCTCCTAGGAAACCCTATACAAGGTCTCTATAAATCGGAACCAACTTGATGACATTTAACAGGAAGTCAAGGAGCAGCCACTGTTGTTCTGTGTAACACTGCTGTTAGGAGCATGGGCTCTGGAGTCAGATCTCAGCTTAAATCAATGATTGACCACTCAATGATTGTGTGATTCTGGGTAAATTGCTGAAGTTCTCTGATCTTAACTTTCCTCATCTGAGACAATAAAAACAGTAACAACCTCTTAAAGTTGTGAGAGAAAGGAGATCAAAGTAAAATCATTGCCTTGCTCATAAGTGTTTGCTACATGCTATTTTTGTTCATTAAAAAATCAAACATATTTCACTTTGTATAAAGTTCTTTTAATATTACTTTCACATTTGCATCATTATAAAATTTTCCTTATAGAATAATAAATTCTTCCTTGCTGTAAATGTCATACATTTTCTTTATTAGTAGTTGCATAAAGTGAAGTTACATCCCCTTGTGAAGTTCCTACTATGTGTGTGTTTGCATATATGTGCACACATACCTCTTCTGGGTTTTTTTCTCCATCAAATTTCATGAAGTGTTTTTCAATTTAATTAATCTTCTCAAAGAAACAATTTTTGGCTGTCTTTGTACAATCTCCTTCGTTAATTATAGCTCTCATACTTACTATTTACTTCTATCCAATTTCTTTGGATAGAGTTTGCTATTCTTTGCCCAACATGTTGTAATATATCTCTGATTAGTAATTTCAGGCTTTCTTTTTCTTGAGAAAATGTAATCAATTGTATAATTTTAATATATTTTCATTATCATTCAGTTCAAAATATTTTCTAATTTCTACTATAAATTGTTCCTTGATCCTATGAGTTCTTAAGAAATATATATCTTAATTTACAAAACATGGGTATGTCTAGTAATACCTTTGTGTTAGTTTTCAGGCTAATTTTATTGTGGTCAGCGGACATCTTTCTGTATTCCACTTTTTTTTTTTTTTTTCTTTCTTTCTTTCTGTTTTGTATTGTTGTTGAGAGTTTGAAGGTAATATATATTTTAATCTGATGTGCTTCTTTAGTTTTGGTAACATATCAGTCATTCTGATTTCTAACTGTTGTGAAGTTGATTTTAACATACAGTGAGTCCATCTGTATCAGAGTAGAACTGTGTTCTCTAGGGTTCTTGGATGATTTTTCAGGAATAGATTTCCAGACCTTTCTTCCACTACATCTCTGGGTGGACTGTACCTTTCAACATTTTATCTCAGCCGTGTTGTTGCTGCTAGTAGCCATGGAGTTGAATCTGACTCATAGAGACCCTGTATAGCTTTTCCAAGGCTGTAAATCCTTACAGGAGCAGAAAACCTCATCTTTCTCCAGAGGAGCAGCTGGTGGGCTTGAAATGAGAACTTTGATCAGCAGTTTGGTGCTCATTCTATAGCCCCTCTCAGCCACAGTTGCTTTACATATTTCTTCTCCCTTCCTTTCTTCTGGGATTCCAATTACAAGTATGATAAAGTCTTTCACAGTATCTCTTATGTTTATTGAATTATTTCCTTAATTTCTTATTCATTTTTTTCTCTTCTCATTTTACTGTAGACATTTACTTCTTATATATATATCTATCTAATTCTTATAAGCATTAGATCCTAATTTTGATTCTTGTCATTTTTAGTGCTATTACTTCTACTTCATTCTTTTTCAAATCTCACATGTCACAATATCTCTTTTCTAGGTAAAAATTAGTTTCCTTTCAACATTCTCACTATTGTCCTTTAACTTCTAGAACTCACTAAAAACAACTGCTTTAATGTCTACATCTGTTTATTCAATACTTTATACCATACATGTCTGTTTCTGTTTTTTAAATTATATTTTAAGTATATTTTCTGGTTTTTATTTATGTGCATATATTTTCTTATTGCATTATTATTTTTGATAGTTTGCTGAATATTGCCATCTTAAAATCTTTACAGAATTCATTTGAAGTTACAGAGTAGCTTGTCATTTGATTCTGGCAGGCAGTATTGGGTGTGAGCTGAAAAAATTTCTGAGTATGATGACATTTTAATTTTAACAGCGATATAGAACTGATTCCAACTCCTAGCACCCATCCACCCCTGCTTGTGGTTTCTGAGGCTTCAAATTTTTACAGGAGCAGAAAGACTCCTCTTTCTTCCATGGAACTGGTGGTAGTTTCGAACTGTTGACCTTGAGTTTAGCCCAGCTCCTAACCACTGCACCACCAGAGCTCTTCTATTTATATATATAAAGTTCTTTCCTACAACCCTTTTTTGCCTTGAGTGTGCTTTTGCTATTTTCAGCATATAACTAAAGGACTTCTTCTAGAATCTTAAGAGTGATCCCAAACTATCTATCATTTTGATATGTTACAACTCTTTGACTTCCTGGGTGACAGTACATTTAATCTGACTTGTCATACTAAGAAACCCGTGGATAAAAAAAAAAATGTGGAAAAGAAAGCGTACTAGAGTTTTCCCTGACATCTGTATCAAGATTTCATGTCCTTAGCCTAGTCATTTCTATGAAAGAGTGTTCTCATTCCTCAGAGACAAGAAGAAAGAGATACCTAAAATAAAGAGTATCCCATCATACCCTTTCTTTGAAATTGAGTGATATCCTTTGGGATTGATGGATAATTATCATAAATGTCAGTCATTTCATTACAGTATAATTCTGCCTTCAGGGTGTAACAATATGTAGAATTGTCTTTCCTTTAAATGACCTTAACTCTTGTGAGTCTTTATTTATTTAATTCTGATCTTTGTCAACATTTAACTCTTACTGTTGGTCGACTCACTAAGTAACTCAATAATTATTTCACTCATCTGTTCCTTGATTTTATAAATAAACATTCAGGTCCAGATGAGAGGAAAAAAAATAAGTAAATAACTTTGTATAGAAAAAGCAGTATCTTTTCTTTTGTGTGAAAAACTTAATTTACTTTATCTAACTAGTAATCTTTCTTGAAACACAATTCAGTAATTTTCTGTCTTAGTAATGGTGACTGTTCTCTTACTCCTTATGAACCAATAGACTTTAAATTTAAGGTCCATTTTCCAGTAATATAGACATTTCAGAAACGTCTCATTAATATTCTTTCTAATTTGTTTCACCATCATCATATAGAGAGTATTCTAATGTTTGTTCTAATTGTCTTTTTGCTTTTTAACAGGTTCCAAATAAGAAACACTGTTAACCTGGAAAACTTACCTAAAGTTTGTGCATGGATACACTTGTCAGAGATTTATGATCAACATTGTAGTGTTCCTTCGTACAGTATCTGTGAGAGAAACGTTGCAAAATAATGGGGAGGGGGTGGAGGAGAGCAGAGAAATGTGAGATGTAGTAGAAAACAAAACAAAACTGAAGTCAATATAAATGTTGAAAATGTTCCGGGACACCATCACTCCAATTCACTTTATTATCTTAACTGAGAAATAAGATGGAGAAGTTGTGATTACTGTATTTACCAAACAATTTATGTTCCGCTTATGCAACCCTAGATGTGGAGGCAGGGCAGCTGATTGTGCATTTCCATTCTATTATTGATTTGTCACTTATATGGCATAAGCCACAAATCCTTTGTGTTTCAAGAAGATCTTACTTTCTGGCTCTACCAGAGTCCTTTTTGGTCTTAAAAAAAACAAAAAGCCACTACATTAGATGCTGTGTGCTTCCTTTCATGTTGCTCCTCAACTTCTTGTAGTATCTCAGACATGGACAGAATGCAAAATATATTTCTGAGTGACTAAATGAAGAAATGGAAAAAAATCTTCAGTATTATACAAACAATTGTATTGTTTTCTACATGATCCTAACCATTACTAGCATCAATAAACTGCAACACCATCCTTTTTTTCCCCCAATTAAATACCTCAGAAAGTTTATCTGCACATTTTGTGTGGCACTGTAGGATAAGCACTGGCTGCAAGGTCAATTTGAACCACAAGTTGGAGGCTCAAACCCACTAAGCACTCCTCAGAAATTCTATAGATGGCGTCTCTGAGAATTGGAACTGACTCAAAGGTACTTAACAACAATAACAACATGAAAGCAGCTCTGGCAGCATTGTGGGATAGGCATTGGACTGCTAGGCCCGATGTTGGTGGCTCAAACCCACCAGTAACTTCATGAGAAAAAGATGAGGTTGTGTGCTCCCATAAAAATGTGTAGTCCCAGAAACCCTAAGGTGCATTTCTTTGTCTTATGAAGGTTTGCTATGAGTTGGAATCAACTCATTGGAAGTGGGTATGAGGTGTAAGAATCTTGGTGGTGCTCTGTTGCAATTGAAACGTAAGCAGTTCAAACCCACCAGCCATTCTGTGGGAGAAATATGTGTCAGTTTGCTTCTATAAATATTTATACTCCTAGAAACTATATGGGGCAGTTTTATCTGGTCTACCTAGTCACTAAGAGTCATAATCAACTTAATTACAATGGATTTGGTAGAGTGTGAAATTGTATGACAACTGTTCTTAGTAGAAATAAGTTTCCTTTTAAAATTGCATCAATTAAAATAAATAGTACAGGGTCGCTATGGGTCGGAACCGACTCGACGGCACTTAACAACAACAACAACAACAGTATCTGGTAATGAATATAAAAAGTAACCAAGTCTATTGACAGATGCATTAACATATTGGAACTGAAACATGATTCTATTTATTAGTGTTTATGACTACTGTTTTTCAGTTTTCACTAAGTCCTGAGTAATTAGTGTACAACATTTTTTTTGTTTACTAATTTTTATAATGACTATTTTCAGTTTTAACTAATTCCAAATAATTACTATAAAAATATATTGCTGAAATGTAACTAGGTGTTATGGATTGAATTGCATCCCCCAAATCATGTGTTGTAAATCCTAACTTCTATCCTTGTGACTATAATTCCATTTGGGAATGAATTGTCTTTGTAATGCTAATGAACGCGGATTAGTGTAGGGTATTTGTTGAGTCAATCTCTTTTGAAATGAAAAAACAAAAGATGGATCAAGCAATCTAGAAACAGAAAATGGAAACGATTGGTACCAAGCCACGTGAAGGTTGCCCAGGCCTAGAGTTCAAGACACAAGGATCTACCAACAAAGAGAGAAAGCCTTCCACCTGAGCCAGAACTCTGAATTCGGACTTTAAGATTCTTGAACTGTAAGAAACAAAATGTCTGTTTGTTAAAGCCACTCTTTTGTGGTATGTCTGTTACATCAGTGCGAGTCTTCTTCATGTGATAGTTTGCATTTCTCTGGCACTCTGTTTTTTTTTAATTTTCCCATTTGTCCTGCTTTTATTTCCAATGGGGATTTCTATATTATTTTTGAGGCATTTATAATCCTTTCATGCTTATTAATATGTGAACCGAAATTGTGTCAATTTCATTAAAGATACTTATCAAAGAGTCTTTGACCTCCAGTTATTTGCATATATGTATATCCCTGTCATAATTTGTCTTTTCCCAAAAGTGATGATGAAGGTAACACTGCTGAGGCAGGTGTTGTGGATAATTCTGTGTTGAAGAATACATTGATATATATTTTTTTAAATCAAAAAGAAATCTGTTAGGTTGGATTTTCTAGCAAAGCAAAACCAGTGAAACTTACATATGTATAATTAAAGAGAAGTTTATAACAAGGGAATGGCTCACTCATTGTAGAGGTGGGAAAGTCCCCAAATCCAGGTCAGATGAACTGAGATCAACAGATCAGAGCAGCAGGCAAGTTCATCAGGTAAAAAAGCAGATTGCTAATGGCTGCTAGAATCAGCAGGTAATAGAGCAAGCCACTGGTTCAAGTCCAAAGAACCAGAGGTCAGAGGACGAGTCAGATGCAAGATCCAGACCCAGCAGAAAGCACGTAAGCTTTGCCTGAGTGTCTAACCTTACTAGAAGCAGACCACACCCCTGTGGAAGCTTCCCTTCAATTGATTGGCTGCTCATTTCTGACCTCATCCTAGAGTTAATTACATTATATTAGATCTCATCATAAGGGATAATTACATTTCAACTGTCAAACCACTGATAAGTCCAATCCAGTCACATTGATACAAACTTTAATTATCACAGAAAATGAAGATTTTGGATAGAATTAGTATTGTTATTCTAATTAATGACTATTGTTTTTAATATACAAGATTGTGGTAACTACTAAAAAGGATGGATAAGACTAGAAGTAGAAGAAATACACTTAACTAGTGTAATTAATTACATCACAAAATATGTTGGTGGAGAGATACCATATCTTTTTAATATTGGTTTTGTTTTGATAGATTTCCAAAATGGGGTGGATGAATCTAAGTAATTATAATAACCAAGAACAATAATTCTGAATGCTGAATATCAAGGCTGAGGTAATTCATAATAACAGGATAAGCAAAAATAACCCTGCTAACACAATGCTTAAGTGCTTGGCCAGTAAACAAAAGGTGGGTGGCGTGAAACCATCAGCCATTCTACAAGAGAAAAGGCCTGGTTATCGGCTATTATAGAGATTATAGCCTGGGAAACACTATAGGAAGCTTTGCTCTGTCCTATAATGTTGTTGGAGTCCTGGTGTGGTGCTGTGGGTTAATGAGCCAGACTGCAAAGCCGTTTGAATGGCAAAGTCAGCCATTCAAGCTCACCAGCTGCTCCTTGGAAACTCTATACAGGGTCGCTATTAGTCGGAATCGACTCGATGGCACATGACATGACATGATAGAGTTGCTAGGAGTCAGAATTGACTTGAAGGCACCTCACAACAAGAGACTAAAGCAAGTGTCTGATAAAGATGAGGGGATAAAGCAAGTCTGCTCTTGGCTGTTCCATGCATACTACATTAATAACATGTATATAATGGATAGCACACTTAGAAAACTAACTTGCATGGAGGTTGAACAGCTTGCCAAAAAACCCACCATAATTTACATGCCATTTGCATGAAAACATGGTATATAGGAACTGTCTATGCATGTCCATCCTGAGGCTTATCCAGAAATATACATGGTAACAATCAGGAAACATTCACATTTTTCCAAACATAGAAGAAGGCATATAGCTACTAACTGAGCCTATGTGTAACATGAATTTAAAGTACATGATGATCATATTTTGAGAAATTCTCAAGATGGTCATCTTCAGGAATAAAGGGCACATGAGATTGTTAGACCAGACATAGATTGTTGATTCACACCCAGAGATATGTAAACAGGATGAAGTGGTGTGGGAGTAAAGAAATCTGTTCTAGGACTAGGAACTTTAATTAAGAATACAGTCATTAAGACCATGGGTGCCATTCAGGCTAGATTGTAAACTCCATTGTTGTTGTTGTTAAGAGCCATTGAGTCAGTACTGACTCAAAGTCAGTTGACCTTGTGGACAACAGAATGAAACACTGCCCGATCCTGGGCCAACCTCACTGTTGTTGCCACGCTTGAGTCCGTCGATACTGCCACTTGGCCAATCCATCTTGTTGGGGGTCTTCCTCTTTTTCTCTGACCCTCCACCTTAACCAGCATGACATCCTTCTCCAACGATTGTTTCCTCCG